TTTATATCTCCTCCTATTCCCATTTGATTTTTTTTTTCGTTTACTGATCAATCGCTCAAGTTTTCTATGAGAATGTGTGGTTGTGCTTGAGTTTGTGTGTGTGCCCTCTTAATTCAATTTCTCAAGTAAAGTTTTCACTTGAAAAATGCATGTGCTTCTAAAAATAAAGAAAGAAAGATGTAAAAAGAAGTGGTTTTTTTAAAAACCATCTAGCATAATAAGGCTATTGTCAGAATAAGCATCAATGTGTATTGCTCTTTCGAGTATGTATCTAATATAACTCTATATGTCTTGTAGTTAAATTCCTGTATGAGGTTGAATGATACACCTGACGTGATATGCACATTTTGTCAGCTTTACTTTTCTTTACATATTGATTTTAATGAGAGAAACATAGATCTATAATTTAAATTTTTATGTACACCTGGGTTTTTTTCGGTCTGTACAGCCAAGAAAAATGTCCCTCTGAGATAATGAAATATTATCTTATCTTATTTTATCACAAAGTGCCAGTAACGGGTTAATTCCCTCTTTGAAGGAACTTTTTAAAAGTGTAGAACAATTAATTAAGATTAGGTGCAAAATGTCACACTTCTCGAATGCTCATAACACCAGTACCAACACCAATACTAACAATAACTCCAACAACAACACCAATAACAACACCAACACCAACATCACCATTACCACCACCACCACCAACAACAACAACAACAACACCATCAACAACAACACCACCAACAACGACAACACCAACAGAGGAATACTCACACTTTCGGGAGGATTCAGGGAGGTTGGACTGCCTCACCCGTCACCCGCTCTTCGGGGCTCCAAACATTTCGAACGGATAGGCTACCACACACACACAACAACAACAACACCAACACCAACACCAACACCCACACCCACACCAACACCCACACCAACACCAACAGAGAGGTACTCACACTTTGTGCCCAGTATTCGTTCGATCCAATTTAATTGTAAGATTCTTGAAACGCAAAGCAAGACAAACTAAAATTTCGAGCTAAAGCAAAAAAAAGAGGTTTGAAAATGCCAAGTAGCACGAGTGATAACAATCTGATCCCTTTTGGTACGTGGTCTTGGCTTTTGTGTGTAATGTCCAGTCTTTTGTTTTTATAGTACGCCTTGCCATGTGTGAGGCAGCGTGGTGAAATCAGGTGCTCGTCAAAATAATGAAAGTCAAGAAACTGGCATTTTCCCTCAGGTTTGGGAATTTTTATCGAATTTTTGTTTTTTGTCCCGAACGACATATTTCATGCACATTAAAGAACATATTTCTTTGTGGATTTTGTTGGGAAAAAACGTTGATTGAAGGCATAAAAGATGTAAACTTTCAATTTCCACGGATTCTCAAGCTAAGCAAATAATTCAACTTTAGCAGCCATTTTCTTGTTAATTTTAATCTACCTCTGAAACCAAGCGACCCCCACCTCCTTAAATTTCCAATGTCCTGACTTGCATACACGATAAACGGATATCTTTAAAAAATCAAAAGCAAGGCAAATGGACAGGCTTTAAGATTATGCCAATAACACCATATGCCCGAAAATTGACGAGCGCCTGATTCCACTGCGTCGTGGCTCACAATATGATGGGTTTATCACGTTTCAGCCGAACGTGACAGACTGCTTATGAAACTTCCTGAGGTATGTTTCAGCACGTGCGGCTCTGTATCACAACAATAATAATATCATCATTATGTAATCCACTGGCTAGTGACACGATTGATTCGAAAGGCCATAGCAGACCACCCGTAGAAAATTGAGGTGACCGTAGCGAACTTTGGGAGAGGTCATTTACTTTAACCCCTTCTCTGACAGATCTGTTAAGGCTGGTAGCCGAGGTGGTAAATATACGAACAAAAAGTCTAGCTCATTTGATTATTTAGCCTACTGATGCCCACGAAATGTGTATTGCATTTCTGCAAGCTAGCGACCAAACAAAAAAAAATTAACAATATTATTAATTTTAAAAACCTTGATCCTGTAATAAAAAGAATTTTCTATTTGGACAATGTATTAAAAACTGCCCTTTAAAAATTAAAAATAAAAGTTTCAGCCTAAAAATAACAGTAATTTACATTTAATTTGATTTAATTAAAAATAACATATTTTGTGTGTGTGTGTGTTGTAAAGGCCAATGGCGTTTACAAAATCCAGAATTCTGTTGGGATCAACGACGGAGAACATTGGTCGCTTTTATGGACAAGCGGGCAAACCCAAATTTCGGGGTTTTCCAGAAATCTTGACCTACGCCAAAAGTGGACATTGCCCTACTTATAGGAGAAGTTCGGTTCCATTGGTGAGTAGATATATCTATATTTGTTTGGTTATAGAGAAAACTCTCCTTGTCTTTTAAAGAAACTGAATAAGGGGCAAAAACTTTACCTTTGATTTTCTCAAAACAGCATTTTTCGGGATAGCTTCCTTGTGCTTAAAAGCGACCCTTTTAATGTTGTACTTTTAAAATACATGCA